TTTGAGGAAAATTTTACTCACTTTCAAGAATTTTGATAGAAATCCTACTCGATATTCAGTTAGTCTCATTGGCCGTGAACCGATCCTAATGATGTCGTCTCTCTTTGTTCTCTCGATAGTGATGGCAAGCAAGCTCGTGATTGGTTTATTTTGGCCTGAAAATTTGACCAATTTTCAATAGTTTACAAATGATAAATTACTTTATTCTTTATATCAAACAAATCTTACAACAATTCTGAATCGAAGGGTGGGAAAATAATTTAAATCCATCAATAAATGACCAAGTTATAAACGTTAAAAACCTAAAACAAATTCATTGCACCATTTTTTGATTTGCAGCCCAGTATAGTCCACAAAGATGCAGTCCTACGTCAACAAGGGTAGGGCTTTAAATCTTAAAATCTACGTTTCTATAGCTGCATCATATTGATCACAATACACAAGTAACATTTAAAGTTTTATGAAATACTACAAAGCTACTATAAAGCAACATTCATAAAACCCTGGTCAAGACTGTTTTGCCATTGATGCTAGAATCTGTCTAGTTGGCCCACCCTGGAGAAGGTTCTGAAGGGTATATTTTCGAAGCTCTTCAAGATTTATTAACTGCAAAATGGTTGTACGATAAACACATTGAGATCCATTTCAAAACCGTTTTTAAGCTACAATAAAAGCAATTTGGCAACAATTAAAACCATTATCCAAGCCATTTACCCTAGCTGCTTGCTAAGTTCACTAGAAAAACAACAATCAAGATAAAAAAGGATTCATAAATACCATTCGATCTAATCAAAATAATTAAAATAAAAACTGATCGTATAAAAATCCTGCCGAATTTCCTAAATTATAAAATAGTTCTCATGAAGTGGCCTAGTTTTAGGTGCCATCTCGGGTGCCATATAAAATTTGATGTGAAATGTACGTGAAAACATCGAAAAACTTGAGTCCGAAAAAAAAATATTCTTCAGATCGATCATAAAGCTTAACCGAAATTTTTATTTCTCATGATTTTTGGATTCAAAATATTTTCTCGTTGGTAATTTAACTAAAATAAAGCTATATCCAATGAAATTTAGATTGAAAATCGAAGATTGTAAAAAACAAACAAAATAATTATAATATGGCGGAGGCATAAAAGTTAATTTTCATGGGCCATTTGTGAAAAAGTTATTTTGCTTTCAAGAAATCCTTAACAAATTCATAAGGTTTTGAAATGGCTTTTATGAAGAAAACTTGTACACTGAACAGTATTTATCTAAAGCCATTTTGCTTGATCCTAACCCGTTCAGATTTATGGCAGCAAACAGACAAACTGTCAGTTAGCGAACACTAGTTGGTTTCCGATCCATAGCTGCGATTTTATTCGGTGAAAGGGTCATCAATTGGAAAAAAAATTCATTCAACCGTACATTCCTGCATCGTTTGATGGTGCACTTCCAGGACCATCCGGAAGAAGGGGATCTTTTCGGAAATGGCCATTTGAAACTCAGAGGTTTTCTGTCCTGTCGGTACTGATGCAAGTTATTCCGATCTTCATCTAATCGCAAGGTCTGGAGAAGGCTGGTCTTTTTTCAAACTGTTTTGACAATGTTTTATGAATTTGAGGACCACGCTCACTTCACTCTTCTCCACCAGATGCTCAGTCGTTGATGGTACCCGTTCCGCTAGACGTGCTGGTTCTTCCAAAGAACTAAATTTTACTGAAATCGGCTTCACTTCGGTCGTTATCATCGCTTAAATTATTCCTCCAACTTCGTTTATCCTTCGAGATTTGTAAATTTGTAAACAGAGGAGATTTTATGATACACTTTTAAAAGCCTAAAAGGCAACAATATATGCATTTTACTCTCATTTAAAACCGAATGGTTTTATGATTGCTTTTATAACGATAGATCAGGTTTAAAGAGTATTTTTATCAAGACATTAATTAAAAATTACTAATGAAGTTTATGATTGATTTTTAGAACAGTTTTATGATGGGATTGAGAACTACTTTAAATTTAATTTTAAAACAAGACAGTTTTTGACTTCTCGCCAGACTGTAAAAGGTTTTTAAAACAGCGAAAACGTGAACTACTAAGCAGGAACGTTTTACACTGTGAAATGCTGTATTTAAACTAAATGGATTATTCATTGCCATTATAAAACCATCATAAATCAGAGTGATTGCCAAATGATTGCAGAATTGTTACTTGGGTATGATCCATTTATGCCTTTTCCATACATTGCAAAGGCAACCCGAAAGGTTTTGCTTCACGCACCATCTAGTGTTGGAAAAGGTCAGCATCAATTATCCAATTACAATCGAGAGGCACGAATATAGCACTTATTACAAAAGAAAAAGTTAAATTATTATCATTAATTACATTTACCACAGGCGTCGGTGTAGTGGTAAGCGTAACTGCTGTGTGTTTGAATGGGTGCGATATCCTACGCAGGTGTGGAAGCTGTCTTCCTGCACATTCGATTGCCATAAAATGGATGGCAATAGATGTCCGTCGGTTATTGGCACTAGATTGCGGAACAGAGATCGACTTTAAATAATGGAATGAAGAAGATTAATTACATTTGGTATATAACATGACAATTTGTGTCACTATTGTCATCAAACAAGAATATTATACAAAATTTCTTTTGATTTACCCCTCGTGAAGATAAACAAATACATTGGTAGCCTATTTGGTGACAGGGGCGCTTTCATCGCTAAAAATTAAGTTCGCCAGCTAAGCGAAAATGCGGCGCGGGTGGTGTAGTGGTAAGCGTGATTACCTCTCACCCCAGCAAGCCTGGGTTCAATCCTAGTCGGCGCCGCCGGGAGGTTCTGCAGCATAACATCTCTGATCGCGCCTTTCTTCGGAAAGCCGTTGGTCCGCGATTCATGAGTTGATGAGTCGATAGGTAGGGTCCAGGTATGGGAGCTGCCTCCCTGGCGTCGGTAGCATTGGTGCTCAGCACGGAAAACAAGGTTGACGGAAAACAAATCAAGGAAAAAAAGGCTGAACGAAAGACTGGATCCTATTGTTAATATAATAATTTGATAAAATCATGCGGGTAGGGCGTAAAACCGTCGTCGCGTCATGCTGGAATTGGTATTTGTACAACTCAGACATTCGTGGGTTTTGAACTAAAACTGTGATCTGGGCTGTAAATACAATTAATGCTCACTTACATGAGATCAGCTGATATTGCGCTGCTTATCTATTTTTACATACTCATTCGAATTTCCATAGCCTCCTATCTTTATAGCAGAATATTCCGCACTGTTAAAACCTTGACAGTCACAAAATTATTCATTCTTTTCCCATGGTATTCATAGAATTATTTGCTATTCCACTGTGGCTACCACTTCACTCTAGCAGCTCGAATCGAACAAGTTCAACGCTCACTACACCCCCAAACAGTAGATATAATAGGAGAAAAAGAACCTTCCATTTCGCTTAACATACTACTGGAATAGACCGTTCATACGACGAACGACGACGATAACGACGTCTGCAACAATGATGATGACGGCGATGATTTCGATGACGATGGGAGCCCCCGTAGGCCACCCGTTCCCGTTCAGATAATAAAAACCGAAGAAGCAAAGAAATAAAAGCAAATCGTGAGCAACTGTTTGGCTTATTGCTGAAAAATGTTTTTAAATTAAAAATTAGCTCGAACTCTCGAACCTGGGAGTTGTTTGCAGTGGTTCTCTCCGATGGAGTGGACCGGGCTCGCTTTTGGACATAAGTTTGTGCCTGGACGACAAAGGGCTGCGGTGGGATCGATTCAGCTATGGAACTGGATGCAATATGGGAAAATGATAGGTATAACTAAAAAGAGAGATGGATTGGGGGGGGGGGGGGGGGGTTGTGTGTGCGGATGAAGGATGAAAAAAATGGAGTCCGGGATGGGGAGCATGGGAAAGTTTGGTTTCTTCTTCAATTGTGGTGGATGACTTTGACAATCCGGGAATGGCTGTGTTTAACGCTTGTGCTGAAACCGAAAAAAACACATAAACGGAACATCATCGACAACAACGATCGAACCGAAACTAACACATCACCTAACATTTGAAGTTGCTTGTTCCTCATTGGATCAAACATATTCGTGAAAAAAAAACCTACATTCTGACATTCTGTCTTGCAGTGGCAAACATTGCATCAATCCCTTCCGAGGGGCACTTGCATCGAATTGCTCACCTTCAAACAATGGCTCCCAGTCACGACAACTGTGTCGCCTCTCCTCGACCACCGTTCGCCTCCTGGTAGCAAACATAACCCAATCTGGGATATAAAGTTGTTTTCCACCTCGCGTCATTGCCGATGATGGTTCGTCTCAACTTGTTGTACCCATTAAAATTAACTAATCCATTTTGTCAACACAGTTTCAAACTACAAAGAAATACATTACGCGAATCGCGAGCGCTACCAGACCCGACATCTCCGGCTGTTGGACGCTCCTTCAGGTTGGGAGATCATGCAAACAAAAAAATAAGAGAAATAGTTCACTTTAACCAACAAAATGTCAACCTTCAAACCGAAACAGACGACTAACAAGCACCTTTTTCTTGTTTCTCCTTCCAGTAACAACTGTGCCCACCGGTAGTCGGTCGTCGTCGTTGAGAGTGGTATTAGTAGAGCATCGTTTGGCCTCCGTCCACCCGGGATGTGTCAACATGAAGCCACAAAACTCAATCGCGAAGCTTAGAAGTGCCCCCGATGATGGCCCGATGGTTCAACGGCAAATAGTGTGCTCCACTACCGGATAGAGGTCGATCCGACGCGTCGGTGGCGGCTCGATCGACGGCAGTGAAATTAATGACAGTGGATTATTATTATTGCTGGTGGTGATCCCAGCGAAGGATGGATACAAATTGAGTTTTCCTCCCATTGGGAACGAGCAACGTGTTTCGCGTCCGCCGGGACGGGACAAGTCGGGTTCGTTGCTTAGTGCGTGCGCGTTGATGTCGTTTGTTGAATAGGAAAACTGTGAGTGTATTCGGTGAAGATTTTTAGAATTTTATTTGTGTCGTAGGAGCAATTTGTGACAAACTGTTTGGATTGATGAGATCGGAATATTCGGAGCAAGGCGGGGAGCGGTACACTTCCAGGATAACGGCGGTAGGAGGACAACAGTCGAACTTCAAAATGTTCACCAGGTATGTACGTTGTATGAGTAAAGCGATGTTATTTTCAACATATCTAGCATTAAGAATCATAAGGGACTAACTACGATGACAGATTCCCATCATCAATGATCTCTTTTTATTACTATACTTAAGTGAAACTATCTTCCGCTAATTTACCAATACCGTGATGTAAAATGTTGTATAGGATAGCAGAAGCAACGTCAGACGCACCGAAAAATGTTAATCCAGAATCGGTCATCGCCATTAGGCCTTTATGATTCTGAAAGCTAGAAATAAGTATATACCCAAGCAACACGGCTTGTCATAATGAAGTTGAAAATACTTTTCAATTACTTACGTATAGAATCAATAATACTTTAATTTACATCATTTAATACAGTTATACAACCTAAAAAGCGCAAAAAGCGGAGCTTATAAAACTGGTAATACTGGTCTTATAACATGTTTCGGAAACATCATAAAAACCAGCGGAAAAAAAAAAAAAAATTGAGCATGGGATTCGAACACAGGTCCTTGACGTGAAAGACTTATTACTTCCTAACTAGACCAACTCTGCTTGTTAAAAAGGTTAATAAGTATCTATCATGTTCTTGCCAATGGCATGAAAATTATATTCTCGTGCAACACGCCTGCTTCGATCCGTCATAAAGAAGTTTTGTAAGCAGCAATGCGTACATTTAATTGCCAGAGTGTTATTTAAATGTATTTTCAACTACTTATAACACATCATGCACCTTTTCAGTTGCATAAATTTATGAGATGTCATAAAAGAGTATTTTCGACTTTCTTTATAACAAACCTCCGCAAACCTCATAAGAAACTGTCAATGACTGCGTGAAGTGACAGTCCGGCTCAATGGCGCCGTCAATCTCCACGTCAATCTGGAAAGTGCAGAATCTCTTCAAGAGCTTTATAAATTCAATTAAGATTGATTTTGCATACGACAAGGTTTATAGTGGTATTAAAACAGTAAGATGCACGTTGAAATAACATTTAAAGTTAAAAGCAAAAGAAAAATATTTTGGAAAATGTTGAATTCTAGGAAGTATGAAGAAAACATCTTTAAACCTCATATAAAACATGGGATGTTTTATGCATCACTTATAATACATTAATACAACAAGTTGTTCTAATTCTTTTTCAGAAAGTTGTTTTGTGTGTTACTTGAGTAAGATAAATGTGCGAATACAGAACAAAGCAATGCGGATAGAATTAAAAAGAGAAACCTTCTCATATTTAGGTATTTTTAGTTTACGACTTACAACACCTGCCGTTTATTATGTGATCAATGATCAACACCATGGTTTTCATCGAAAGACTGGTTCAGCTGTGCATATCAGAAAAAAAGATGTCAACCTTTAATTGCATTCTCCGTAACTTAACTTCATAGACAAAAAAGGGATTCAAGTGAAGGCACCACCATTCAAATATATTGGAATTTTATAAAATTACGGAATTTTAAATAGCCAAGAAGATTAATTTACAGTTTTGTTCGAATAATTCACCACTCAAGTAATTAATAATTACACTATTAATTGTTGGATACCAAATTCATACAAATTGTGATTGCATTTGATTGCATTTGCTCTTCATTGCTGTTGCAATTTACACAACCGGAAATGTATGAATCTATTACAAATTTCTATAAAATTATACAGAATTTGTAATGTTTCATCTCGCGAACAGATTCTGTATCTTAATTTCGTTAGTTGTTTATTAATTTATTTGATTAGGCTCAATTGAATTAACTGTACAGAGCCGATGATTCTTGGTCACTATACAATACATATTTCAACTATAGTCAAAAGGTACAACACAATAAACACTTTATCTTCCACTATTCAATAAGCCTCCTTCACCAGAACGGGAGCCGCTTCCTGTGATTTCATTGTATAGCAGATTCGCCAACGTGGGTCAGAGCGCTTCCATTGCATCAATGAACACAAAACGTGGTCAGCACTCACACATTCATCACTAAACGGTTGCTTTCCAAAGTCGACGACGCTGATGATGAAGAACAATGAGGAGGACCACACAATGGTTGCTGCCGATAAAACAGACGATCGTGTGACACACATCGAGAGTTGCCTGCTTTTGTCGACAGCCGAGTGAACACTGGATGTATCTTAATTAAAGGTTGTAGCTTTTTGTTATTCTTAAAATACTTATCCTAACTTGTACACCTACCAGGAAATGTAAGATTATGTTACAGAATGATACAACTTCTACAGAATGATACAACTTGATGGTATTTTGTGGTGGTCTCGGAATATACTATTGGCACGGAAAAGTTAAATGTTTGGAAAATTATGACGTATTCTTGATCCGGTTTCCAAAATATTGTGAACTGCTTTCGGGGACGTCATTTCATTTAAATAGCTTCTTGTTTCCGGGTTTGACCGATCGTCAGTTGTAGTGGTTTGTTGTGATTTCCTTTCTGACCAGAAGATCTGGAGCCACGAAGCCCGTTTAAATTACGGAGTGGATAGCGTTGTATCATTTGCTTACCATACTTTGAAAGATCGCATCACTTTCCAAAGCTAATCCAGTTCTAATTCACCCTTCCGACTTACAAAACAGTAGAAGGGCCTTGGGGAACGAACGGAGGCTTGACGTAGGACCACGTAACTCTTTCCGTTTTTTAATTGGTGGCCCTGAAAAGGGCCAGTTGTTTTTCAAATGGTGGCCACACCAGTGCAAGTCGATGCCGACAGGACGACGGCGGCCTAGGTATGCTGCATATTGCGGGAAGCCTTTCCTCCGGTCACTGTGGATGCTTTCGTCGTCGTCTCAGGGATGTCACATATACAGATTTATCGGTAGTGATACTGATTTTTCTCCAAATTTTTGTACAGATATATAGGGGAAATGACGGCTTCGGCATGACAGACTATTTTCGGCAACCCAAATTGAAACACTATTTTCACTGGATTTTCTTACGAAAACACTTCGCTGAATGCATGCAAACGATTCTTTATGCTTTCAGCTTCAATTTGACTATATTTTTACCACTGAGAAAAAGCAATCTAGCAAGGTTTTCTTGAAATGCAACACACGCACTACAAATTGTAGCTGATTTCGAGTTGCCGATAATAGAACAGCAGATTTACATGCAGTTCAAATGGAACGGTTGCCGAAGAAAAATTGGTTGCCGACAATACTCGCTCTCACTAGAGAAGATTGGAGCTTTGTAAAAGCGTTTCAAAACAGTTTTTGGCAATTCTTTCGACTGAAATTGTTAGAGCAGCTGGCAGCAAAAGATTGTAAACAAACCAATACTGCATATGTGTGCGTTCCTTAGAGAAAAAGGCTATAGAAAGAAGGTCGCTGCTTAGGTTGCCGAGAATACGTAAATTCCCCTATATTTTCAGATTACAGATTTTTTTTAAATACAGATTTTTCAAATAAGTGAAATATATGTTTAACTTTGGATTGTATTTATTAATATCCATTAATAATCCTTTCTTCCTTCTGAGAAGGTACAAGCACCTAACCAAATCCCAATTTTTCATTTTTTATTTTATTATCTTCGTTAATTTTGAGCGGACTTCTGATGCTCAGATGTTCTGATTTCTGATTGCTCGTTATTGTTTTCATTCTTATTGTTTAATTAACAATATCACATGGTAACAGGTACTATGATTTTTTTTATTTGTCGAATGGGTAAACAAGCCGTTTTAACAACCTACAAGCTGATTGATTACAGTTTGTGAGTCGAAGAGTCAACTGGACATTTTGACATTTGACTAGCGTTATATCAGATCAGAAATAAAGAATATTCTATGCAATTCTAGTAAACATCCAAAGAATAGTATGTGTTTTGACAAAAAACAATGAGGTTGATAAAACATATGAACACGAATACAGATGAAACCATCCCAAAGTTTTACTGAGTACACTTAGGTATATAGGTTCGAGCAACACCTAGCGAATACATATCTTTATAATCTGCCAAATGATTAAATACAGTTGAAATTTGTTTTGACTTGAAGAATTTGAGAAACATTTGAATTTGAAACATCGAGCATTACATTTTACGACTAATATGGGTAATGGATGTAATCTCGAGTAGCACACTTTCATCAAAATAAGTTACAGCAACTTGTTTATGACTGATATAAGTCGTATTTAAGTTTCTACAATTGATTTGTGACAAGCGTGCTCCTAGGGATGTTGAACTAAATGCCCTTAATTTGGGCCCATACATAAACTCAGCAATCGACTATATTTTCAACAGTGACCAAACATATCCATTAGTACCATCCCAATGACGCGTTCATCTAGATAAAATTGATAAATAGCGATGGGCCCAATCTTAGATCCATAGGCCAAAATTAGAGCTATTTCCCCTACTTCATGAAATTTTAATACTTATTTTGCATTTTCTAAAATTGTTGAGTAAAAAAAAACACATGACCTGGCAAAGATTTTCGTAATCTTGGATATAAAAAATTCAAGTTTTGCGAAAATGTGATTGTTTCTTCATAATTTTTTTTTCAGGTTTGTCTCTCATTACTGACCTTTGATTTTTTGTATTATTACTCTTTTAAAAAAGATACAAATCACTCCAAAAATCAAGACCAAGATAAAGCTTCAGGATTTCGAGATCTTTAAAAGAGATTAATTCTTTAGAAAGCAAACTTAAGTCATTCTTCAAGATTCTAAACTATGAACAAACTATTTCTTTTTAGTGTTCTAGATGCACTTCCACAGTTATTAATTGAGAGCTTTCGATGCCTGTACCATTTTGGCATCGGTATAATTGTGTGGCAAGTCCAATCATACTTCTATGCCCAGGGAAGTCGAGAAATTTTCCAACCCGAAAAATTCCTAGACCGGACTGGGAATTGAACCCAGTCACCTCCAGCATGGTCTTGCTTTGTAGCTGCGTCTTTACCGACTGAGCTAAGGGAGGCCCCAAACTATTTCTGAACTTCAAATGAACTCAAGGTATATTTACGACGATCCGCAATAAGATCATACTATAGAATTTATACCGATTATTTTAC